AGCCGGGCTCCCAGGACACCTCGGGCACTCGATCTGAGTCCAGTGTGGACTGTCCCTCCACTCCCACCTGGGATCCCGTGGCAGGGTTTGGCCTGGGCTCTCTCCTTCTGGTCGCAGCGCCGCCCCTGCCTTTGGGAATGGCTCCTCCCCCACCCTTGTGATCTGACCAGCCATGAGCACGTCCTGTGCCCTGAGCCGGGGGAGGCACAGGGCTCCGTCCTGACCCCACAGTGCTCCAGCCCCAGGCACCGGCCTAGCGGTGGGCCCTGACTCACTCGGAGTCCTCCCCTCCTCTCCTCCCTCGGAGGTGTGTCCGCCGGAGGAGCCCTCCCGGAAGTGGGGCCCATGCGCAGCCGCGATGCTCCCCTGCCCTGCCTCGCCGTGTGGGTTGCGTGAGCCGGTGCATTCTCCCTGTGCCTGCGAGTGTCTGAGCTGCTTCTCTTGCTTTCAACTGAAGAGTGCGAGTACTGCGCATGCCTGGGGGTCTCGCGCATTCACCCTGAAACTGGGTGTCTTCCCGGGATAAAATTCCATAGAACTAGACACACACACACACACACACAAGTGCATGTAAAACTGGTGACACCTGACAAAGGCCTGTACCCGAGTTAATAGGACTGTTTCAAAGTCAATTTCCTGTTGTGACAGGGTGCTGTGGTGACGCGGGGTAGTATTGGGGAGCTGGGTGAGGGGTGCACAAGAACTCTCTGTACCATTTTCCCATCAGCTTGTGAGTCTTAAACTCTTTCAAATTAGAAAGTTGTACTAACAATATAAAGTTAGTGGCTTAAGACAACGATAACCACTGTGTATTTACTCTTGACTACCATTTGGGCAGGGATCGGTGGGGACAGATTATCTGTTCACATGGCGCGGCCGGGGCTGGTGCAAGGTGGCTTCACTCACGCATCTGGGGTGTCAGCTGGGGCTGGCCCGGCGTCTCTCCCCACAAGGCCTCCCCCGCAGGGCAGCTGGCCTCTGGCTGTGGCAGCCTGGGGCCCCGAGGGAGGAAGTCGAAGCAACAAGGGCTCTTGAGGCCTCGGCTACACCTGGCCAGCGCCACGCTCCATTGGCCACGGCAGTCACGGGCCAGCCCTGATCCCCCACCCCTTGCTGAGAGGAGTGGCGAAGGGTGCAGGTCTTCAGCCCATTGCTGTTGCCAAGCGTGTCGGAGGCTTCTGGGTTCACCGCCCTGGATCTAGTCCAACTTCTTCCCTTGGGATGAGGAGGTGGGGGCCGGAGAGGGGAAGAGGAGCAGCCACACAGAGAGGGCCACAGATTTAGGGACCGAGCTGGGCTCCCAGGCAGGGCTGGTCCACCCTCACCCCGTCAGAGCCCTGGCTCCGCGGGCAGGGCCGCCTCACCAGCCTGGCATCGCCGCTGGGTTCTGTTTTGCACACGCTGGTGTTTGCAATCAAAAAGTTCAGCGGTCCTTCCGGTGTGCTTAAATTAGTTCCGATGAAAACCAAATCATTTCATTTGCAGAGAAGGGCTTAATTGCAAGGGGAGCGAGGCAAAGGGAATTCTGCTGCCTATTTTCATTGAAGGAAATTACTGTACTTTCCCCCATCTCCTTACGAAACAGAAGCAGCTTAGAAATTGGGCTGTAATCACCAGGGCCACCTCCTCTACCCTCTCTTCTCAGAGGGGGCTGTTCAGCTCCCGCCCCGTCCAGAGACCCTGCCCAGGACTACTGCTGTCCATCCCCTGGCCCGGGCAGCACTTCCGTGGTTTGCGAAGGGCTGTCCACACCTGGAGTCTCCCTTCACCCTGCGATGTGGAGACGACGGCCCTCGACTCAGCGGACGGACCCCAGCGAAGAACGGGACTACGCCCTTGGCGAGGACAATCATCCCAGCCCCTCCTCGGAGATCAAGTTAAACCTGCCCCAAGCTCTCACACACCAGGGCTGGCGAGAAATCACACGTCGGGGGCTGCCCGACCAGCGTCTTACACAGATCCCAGGCGTGTCTGGGTTGCTGCCTGGTTGAGGGCAGGCCCTGGCCCTAGACCATCTTCTCCGCAGCTTCCGCGTTACACGGGGCTGGGCGCTGGGCAGGTCCTTGGTGCCCTGCCGGGTGTCCCACTCGAGGAAACACGGTAAACACGGCTGCTCCTGTCCAACGTCTCTGGCCAACCTGAGAGCCCTGCCCCCACTCAGGCAGTCCCGCCTGGTCCCCTCTGTGGCCAGAATGAAGGCTGTTTACCTGGGCTGGCGACACGGACCCTTCAGGGAGACGACCTGCAGGAAGGTGGGTGCTGGAGGCAGTGAGGAGTGTGGGGCCCACGGCGGATCGGAGAGGGTCACCTCAGTTCACTCAGATTGAAAAAAGAAAAAACAAGGAACAAAACCAGCCTGAACAGAGACCTCAGAGACTCAGTGCCGGGCTCTCCTGGGGTGGCGGTTTCCCTTTATCTATCTCTTGACTATTTATTGAGTGCCTCCTGTGTGCCTGGCGCTGTTCCATGCTGGGGACAGCAGTGAATGGCAATGAGTGGAAGGTTACGCCCTCCAGGCACTGGCAGGCCAGTGCGGGTGGAGAGACAACGGGAATGAGTAAAACATGCAGCCTGTCAGGTGTCAGGTGTCAGGAGAGAGAAAGGGGGGGTGGGTCCAAGAGGGCATGCGAGGTGGGGGTGCAGTCACAACTTCAGACAGGGCACCAGACCTGAGGGAGGACTGGGGGGCGCACTGCATGGAGGCATGGAGCTCTGGGGGATGCAGGACAGGCAGGCAGCAGGTGCAAAGGCCCTGAGGCAGGAGCGGGGTGGTGAGGGCAGGATGGCAAGGGGTGTGGGCCCAGCAGAGCGGGATCACAGGGGCAGCCACGGGGTTGGGGTGAGGTACTGGCCTTCCTCTGGAATGAAATTGTTTATTTGGGCAAATCTGTAGCAGCACCAGTCTGAGAGCGGCCCTCCTCCTTCCTTCGGGGAAGTGGAGTGTGTAAGGCTGAGGCAAGGCTCTGGAGCCAGGTGGCCTGGGTTCTGACGCTGGCTCCTCTCCTGACTGCCTCCACGTAGAGGGGATGACAGTGGCACCTACAGCGTGAGGCCAGGGTTGTTCTGAGGAGTCCTCAAGCCGCAGCTCGCTAGGAGCGAGTAGTGATGCTGTCACGTGTGGGCTAATTTTACCACTTAATACGTGCCCTGGATACAGGGTAAAGTGATTTGCCCGAGGTCCCCAGACACTGAAGGGCAGAGCTGTCCTGAGGATGCTGAGCCCATTCCTCCACCCCTCCTGGAGCAGCCCTGTCCCTGAGAAGGCCTGGGGGCACCAGGTGGCACAGTGCTCAGGGGTCTGGCCGCGCCACCGGTCGCTCTGCCCTTCTCATCTCTGGCACATCTCCTGTCTCTAGTGCTTTCTCTGGGGACAGGGTGGAGGCTGGCCTGGCTGCCCAGAGCAGACTGTTTTGGAACAATTGGGTGACTTAGCATGTAACCGCTCCCCTGGCCCTTCCCTTTGGGGGAGGCCGACAGGATAATGGATTTGCGTCCACGCACCTGCCTCAACAAAGGCATTTTTTTTTTTTGAGGCTCAAAGTCAATGGTGTATTAATTAAGGGGAACAGCTGCTACCGCGGTTCTTATGATAGGTCAGTGACAAATGGCTGTGTTTACCTTTTTCCTGAGCTGAGACTCTGGAAGGTGGCCTGGAGCTCCTGGGTGGATGTCCATGGCTGAGATTTGTGGGGTACAGCCTCTTCCTCCCTCGCCCCCGAAGCTTCTTTAGCCATGCCCACCGAGGCCGGGAGGGCTATTTGTCACAGGAAAGACAGGTCTGCCACCTGGGGAGCGCTCAGAAGGGATTCGGGCAGAACGAATGGAACTTCTCAACAACAGCTCCAGCCCCAAGATGGCTCAGACCCCCTCCCTGGACAAGCCCCACCACCCCCTGCTGTCCCTTGTGAAATAAGAGCGACTCAGAAGCGAGACTTGGCCCTTCAAAGGCGAGGGAGGCTGCGGAGCCCCATCTGAACCGGCTGCAGCCAGAGCGAGGCTGAGGACGCACCTCGGGGCCTCTGTGCCAGCCTGTGTTCCAGGAAGGAAGGAGCTGGGCTGGCGGGGGCCTTTTGTTAGTTGGTTTATTTTGATCTCTCTGCTGCTCTCCAAACAGCTTCACAGAAATAGAGCCGCGTCGGCTCCCTTCTCAGCTCCGGACGAAGCGCGGCGAGGGACGTTGGGCCGTGAACAGAAGGGGAAAGACGGGCTCGTTTTCCGCCCCCCGCCCACAGTGGTTTCTGGGTCCTTTGTTGGACTGTGGACCCAGCTGTCTGACGACAGCTGACGGAAGAGTAACGGGCTGGTGCTCGCTGTGGACGGGAAAGGAGGCCCCAAATGGGCAAGGCAAACCCCACGGGGCACAGCGGCGCTCACTGATCTTTGGGCCCCCGAGAAAGGAGGGCCCAGGCTGGGTGCTGGCGCCAACCTAGAGGCCTGCAGCTTTCCCCACAGGCTCGCCGCGTGCCCGCAGGCAGGGGCGGCGCTGGTGGGCAGCAGCGGGGTCCTGAAGCACACTCGGCAAACCCTGCCCGTCCTGCTGGGAAGTCCCACCAACCTTCACTCTGCTTTCTTCCTCCGCCTCTGGGAGCTGGCACTGAGCACTCCAGGGGACAGTCTGTGGCCTTGGTGGGAGCCAGAAACGAAGCTGAGGGAAAAAGGCCCCACTGGCTCCCACTTCCAGCTGCCCCTTGGGGCCGGGCAGATACCCTCCCTGGAGCTGCAATCCTCACAGCCACCTGCAGGCTAGGGTCATCGCGCCGGGTCACAAATGTGGAAACCGAGGCGCGGAGGCGCCACAGAGCCCGCGTCCCGCTCAGCCCTCTCCCCGAGCCAGGGCTTAAGAGCTCCACGAGCTGACGTTCCTTAGATGTTGCTCTGGGGGAAGGGAAAGAACCACGGACGAGAAACCATCCATTTTTAATAAATAGTTTATTTATCCAGCAGTTTCAGCCCTGATACTGGAGCCTGCTGCAGAGTTTCTTCCTGTTCCGGCCGGAGCCCGACTGCGAGAACGCAGCCTCGCGGCCTCACCGCGGGCGGCGCCGGCCTCAGAGGAAATGAGAGTATTGCTCAAGTGAGGGAGACCGGAGCTTTATTAAGGAGACAAAAACACCAGTAAGACCAGAGAGGGGTGGCTAATGTCTTCCGGAGGCAGCGCGGCATCTCCCGTGTTTGTTCCTCCTCTCCCGCCTGCTGCAGATGAGGACATACGAGGACGAGGCTCGCCAGAGCGGCTTCTCACTTAACTAACAAGGCCCCCTGCCGCGGTGTTTCTGGAGCCTTCCTCCTGCCAGGCAGGTTGAGCAGAGCCCGAGCGGAGCCGGCGGGAGGGCTGGCGGTCTGCAGCGGCACCGTGTGGCCAGCAGGGGGCAGCGTGTGGCTGCCGCGCCTCGCCCACCGGGAGCCACAGCAGCGGGTGGCACAGACAGTCGCTGTGCGAAGTTCTGGTTAAACAGCCCCGGGTGGGGAGGCTGTGGTCACAGTAAAACAAGGTGATCTTCCCACACAGGAAGCGCGAGGCCCCAGCTCACGCGGGACCCCCAAGGTCCTGGAATGCGCGTTGTGGCCTGATGCAATGCCCGGGCTGCAGGCCTTGCGCAAAGTCGCCACTTCCGTGAGAAGCACCACTGCAGGGGGCCACCCCCCGGCCCTGGAGGTGGCGGCTGCAGGGCAGCCAGCCCGACCCTTCTCCCTGCTCTCAGCTCCGCCCTGCCTCCAGGTTCCTCCTTCCAGGAAGCCATGCCAACAGCTCACTCCCCTGACCTGAGGGCCCCTCCATCAGGGCCTAGTGCTTCTAGACAGCTCCCCTACAGTCACTTGTTCTAATTTCTAGCATCTTCCCCCTTCAGGATAAAGAGGCGCATCCAGCCAGAGGCCAGGCTCACCCTTGAGCTCCCAGGTAACACCCCCTGAAGGCACATGGACCAAGCAGCTCCCATCCCCCACGGCCCAGGCCCAGCGATGGCCCAGCGGGCAAGCCCCGGTGCACCCACCCTCACGCAGCTCTGCTGGGTCTGACAGCTGCTGCTCTTTTGTCTTTTCTATTCACGAAAAAAAAACCCTTCTCCCCTTTTCTGCCAGCGTAACGGGGCAAAGGATGGGCCCTCACCCCTGGCTTCTCCCCTCCACCCTCAAAGGAAGCCCACGTTTCCTAACTAGCTGAGCTCCTCTAGAGTCTTACAGAGAGAAACCTTTGGAACTGGGTTGTGAGGAGGATAAAAAGTCAAGGCAAGTGTGAATTCAGCACCGGCAGGTCTCAGCGACCCTCTTGTGCCCCCAGAGGGGACCTCCGGGACAGGCTGACTGGAAACGGGTGTCTGTCCAGGCTTATCGCTCGGAGTCGGAGAAGGAGGAGGGCTTAGTCCATCTCCACACCAGCATGTCTTCTCCGGCCACGCGGTGGGACTCCGTCTGGATCCGGGACTCGTTGGAGGCCAGGAACTCCACGGCGCGGTCCCAGACCCGCTTCATGCGCCTCCTGCAGTGAGGGGGGTGGGCTCAGCAGGCGAGTGGCACCCTCGCCAGCTCTGCCTGGCACTGCCGAGAGGCAAGCTGGCCGGCGGACGCCCTTCTACAAAGGAGATGGATGCCCGTCCAAGCTCCAGCACGGAATTAATCTCGGGGAGGAAAAGCTGCAGGGGCTCAATGACAACTGCAGAGCAGAGCAACGTCCTGGGCCACGGCGCAGCGATTCCTTAACCTGCTCCGCCCAAAAGCAATCGATCAAGGGGAGCTGCACGGGGCGGGGCGTCAAGAGCACCCCCAGGTCTCCAGTGTGAAGGGCCGTGCTGGGCGGGCCCCACTGCCAGTGCGACTGTGTCTCAATGCTCCGTGGGTGCTCATCGAGCAGAGGCCACCGGGCGAGGCCCAGCTCCACGACGCCACAGGGCATGGGGGTGGGCTAGGCACCGGACCAAGAGGCCAAGAAGGGGGAGCCGCTTTAGGGAACCGGAGCCACCGGAGAGGGCCTTCCAGTGGCCAGAGTCTCTGCTCCACTGGGCCCCTGGGGCCCTGCACCCCTCAGACAGCCCCCTGCTCACCCTTCTCCCCCCCTTTCAGACTGGACAGGAAGGTTCCAAGGCTGCTGGGAGGGCTGCTTTGACCCTTTCCCTTTGACGAGCCTGGTCACACAGACTCAGCCTTTTCTCAGCACCGCAGAGCCCATGGCGCCACGTGTGGGGAGCGAGCGAACACGAGTGCGTACGTGTGGCAGAAGAGGCACCAGGGAGGACAAACAGAGGTGGCCGGTGAGTCAGGGGGCAGGGTGGGGGTGTAGGGGCTTTCTTCCCCTGGGTCAGGCCCTGCCACCAACCAAAGCCCACGGCTGATTCAGCAGCCCCACTTGGGCCGCAATCCCTGGAGACTGAGCTCCGAGGACAAGGACGCCCACACCTCGGGCTGGTGCCCTGAGGCAGTGAGCACTGGGTGGGCGGTGCCTCGCCCCAGCCCCGCTTCCCACTGACGGGAGGCCAGCTGCTCCAGGCAGCTCCCCTGACCTCACCACACACGCTCCTCGCAGCTCCCTCAGCCTTCCACAAGCAGGCCCCCCACTGCTGGCCAGCCCCGATGATCCAGCGATGTCTCCTTACGTGTCGAGAGCGTGGCCTGGACTGACTGGGTGCCTTGCGAGGTGAGTCCAGAGACTGCGATTCTCGACAGGCTCAGACCCTGCAGGGTGGCCACCCGAGCGCGGCAGCTCTGGAGTCTACACTAGAGCACGGGGTGAGTTACCCTGGCTGCGAGCAAGCTTCGATTCCATCTCACATTCTTGTTCTGAACTGGTGTTGCAGACATTGTTTAAGTTCAAGTAATAGCAGCACCCTTGCGTGGGCACTCACATGCCAGGTACTGACTTAGTGAGCTTCGAGGCCACCTCCCTGACACCCATTCCCCCTTCCGTTAGCACTTGTCACTCACTACCTGATATCATGCATTTTCCTTACGCATCTTGTCATCTGTCACCTTCCCTAGAACAAATGGTCTAGCCGGGCAGGGATTAGTGCTTCTTCCACTCCCTGCTGTCTCCTTGTGATCCAGGACAGTGCCTGGCATGGAGCAGGTGCTCAATGAACATTTGCTGAGTGAATGAATGAATGAATGAATGATACCCTCCCCTCAACATGGCCCTCTGCAAGGCTGTGGCTTCCTGCGTTTAGGATGAGGCAACTGTGGCTCAGAGAGGTTGAGTGGGTTGCTCAGGTCCTAAGATGCCTCCTGTCGGGGCAGGAATCAGGCGGGAGTCTTGAGTGCATCAAGTGGCCTCCCTGGGCTGGAGGGCCGTGCGGCTCCTGCCTCCTGCCGGGGACCAGCACGCGCCCTACACTGCTGTCAGTCTGCTCTGAGCTTCCTGCCTACCACCTTTCCAGCGGGTGGGGTGGGCACGAAAGTTACCAAGCACCTTTGTGTTTAAAATAGACTCTTAAATGATCTACTCTTCTGATTCCTCTTGGGTTGCGCAGAAGGGGGTGATGTCGACAGTACAGCCTGGTGGCAGGAGCACAGAAATGCCACTAGCCATGGGACTCTGAGCACATTCCTTAACCTCTCTGTGCCTCAGTTTCCTCATCTGTAGAATGATGGCTGTGGTGAGGACCAAGTGAGTAAGTTTGTACCTATGGAGAGCTCAGAGCAGTGCCAGCTCCCAGCAAGCACTCAGCAAGTATGAGCTCTTAGCATTATCTGCAGATGACACCATCTGGCCAGAGACCGCAGCTAAGTCTGCTATGCAGGGACAATTGAGCCAACACTGTGATGGGCCCTGCTGGCTGCCTCCTGGGGCTCTGCTCCCTGCCCACCCCACCTGGTTTTATCAGGACCATAACTCCAGAAATCACAGTGTGCAAGGTGTCCTCGCAGTTGTGCGTGACAACGCCCAGCCACCGCTTCCCACGAAGCCCTGTGCCCTGGAAGCTGACCTTATTCGCTGCTGTGAAACTTTACTTTCAGTTACATGCATGGGCTTGAGTGTGTGCGTGTATGTGCAGGAACTGGACTACTATATTGTAGGTAGTATATGTTTCTGACTGTGAGTCATAGTTGAAAAACTTTGAAAATCTCTTCCTCCTTGTCGGTCATTGATCCACAAATAGGCAAGTAACCAACTATGGCCAACAGAGCCTCCAGGAGCGTGTCACTGGAGGCTGCCGGGCATGTTTTCTCTTGCTTGTAAGAGAGCGACAGGAAGCCCACTTCTCCCCTGCTGGCTGGGACAAGGCAGACATTGCTCCAGCTGTTGGCCACTATCTAGTGACCATGAAAATCAGAGAGAAATGGAGCCAGAGATCTGACAGTTGTGTGCCTGGAGGCCACCCTACTTTGGACTTCCACGTATGGAAACACAACAGAGCCTTCGCTGCTCAAGCTATTGAGGGAGGAGGATTCCATAACTGGCAGCCTAAAGCGTCCCGGTTGGCATCACCACTAATAGCACTGTCCGTGCAGAGGAGAGGGCCGCGCTTTCACACGTCTGGCCTGGCTCATTCTGCCGTAAGAGCTGAGCACGCTGAGGAGCGACAGGAGGCGTGAACAGTGCCCTGATTTGTGACCTTGGCGGCTGAGCCGCCCTCCATGACAACCGTCAGGAGGCTCTGGGCTTCCTTCCGTGGAGCTCGAGGTTGGTGGGGTCAGACCTCGTCTCGCCCCACGCCCAGCAGCCCCAGCCGGGGCGGACTCACCGGCTCTGTGGAGGGATGAGGGTGTCGCGCACGTGCAGGATGCCCACGTACGGGTAGCGCTCCATGTCCTGCTCCCAGTCCACGTAATGGTCCTGGACCACGTCTGCAGGAGAGGGCACACTGTTTAGGGCAAGGACCCTCTGGCAGGTGTCAGGCAGCCCTTTTGCCAGGGGCCACGCACCTATGATCTTCTTCACCATCTCATACATGGCTTGCTCCTCCTCTTCTAACTTCCGCCACCGGTATCTCAGGAGAATCAGGAGCCCCCACAGAAAAGCCAAGCCTGTGAGGGAAGAAAACACCGTCAGCCCCTCACATCTCCTTTGGCCGCTCGGACTCGCAGGGGCTCTCACTACGGGCAAGACACTGCTGGGGGCTGCGGGGCATCTGCCAGCGTGCTCCGAGTGCCTACTGTGTGTCAGACACAGGGCTGGCACGCAGCAAACAAAGGACGCAGGGACACAAAGGGAGCACGGGCTATGAAGTGATCATCCTCCTCCCACCGGCTGTCACCACGGAGGCAACCCCGGCCGTCCAGATCTTGGCTCCTCCCAGCCTCATTCCAGGGCTTTCATCTCCTCCCTTGTGAACCAGAACACAGTGTTTCATACACATATACATGCGGGGCCCTTTGTATTCTGAGATGCTGCTGCCGATAATGATTTCTACGCCTGACGGCGTGGGGGAGGGAGCTGTGCGCATCGAGACGGTCTGTGATTCATAGCTCGGACTATCTCTGGAGAGCCGGCGGTTTCTGTGACTTGGCCTTTCGCCTTCAGAGGCACCCCAAGGTCTCTGCTCAAAGGCAGCCCCTGATGTCGGAGGTAAGACCTGTGCTCTCCTTTTCAGCCCAGCACCCTAGGTCCTTCTTGCTTTCATCAGGTATCTGTCACTCTCCAGGAGATGTTTACATTTTTTCAGGAGTAAAATTAGACCAAGCCCCTCCGTGCCTCCCGCCTGGAGCCAGTCTGCATACTGGGATCCCCACAGAGCTGCCCGAAGGAGCGATGTCTGGCTCTTGCCCAGGCCAGGTCCCTCTCAGGGAAGCTGACAGTCCCCTGCTCTGATTCAAGGACATTTTCTAGTTATCCTCCTGCTCCTGCCACCAATCTCCAAAGGTAAAGACAACCCAGGGCAGAGGCTGACTTGTTCATCTCCTCTGTTTTATTAGGCAGACCTCAGGTTCACCAGACAGAAATGAACCCTCCGGGCCTGGAATTTCTATAGCTCATCACTCATGCCTAGGAGTGCGCCTGACTGCATGGAAGGGGAGGGAAGGCAACCGAGGACTTACACCAGAAGAAGATGAGCACGTTGGTGACAGCAGTGAGCAGGGCGCGGCTCAGGCGGCAGCCAACACCCATACGGGGACGGGCAGATTCCAGGCAGACCACCTTGTCCACAGTCGTCACCAATTCAGACTGGTCTTCCCCTTTCAACCTGTGAAGGACATAGGGCTCTAACATGTCGAAAGGCCCTGAGGAGCTGCGGTATGAGGCCCACTTCAAACAGGAGGAGGCGAAGGAAGGAGAGGCCTCAAGACCTCTACTTGCTTATGGAATAGGCTTGGTATCCTGGTGGCACTCTTTCCAGAAATTTCCCATGTTGGCTACTTAGAAAGAATAAAGCTCTAAAGACGGCAGCAGGCTTGAACCCCTACCGATAAAGTGACGTCCCCCTCTGTCAGGTCTTTGACAGCCTCTCTCAGCGTGCAGAAGATTAAACTGTAAATTGGTTTCCCACCTCCCAGCATAGAGAAATGGAAATGTTTACCGAATTGCTAGCTTTGCAATTGCGAGGCAAGAAATGAAAGGCAGAATCCGGGAGGCTGCGCTTTTCCTCCGTGACGAGGAGGCACATAAGCTGTTTAAGCGTAAAGATCATGGGGCATCCGTGAGGTTCACAGGGAAGGAAAACAACCAGGCTCTCGAGGCCAGACCCCTGCCACAGCGCCTCCACCCTGGTCCCCCCAGCAAGGCGGTGTCAGGACCTGTGGGGAGGCTAATGCCTCAGCCTTCGTCCAGCTGGGCGACCCAGGGCAACGGTATCGTGCTCTGGAAGCTGCGTGCTGGAATGGCTGGCATCCGAAGTGGCCTGATTTTTCCCGACCCACTTTAGCACTGGCCATCCGAGTGGCTCAGCCACCCCCAGGCAGCCTGCCCCCCCAGGAAAAGGTGAGTGCCATCACTCCTCTGTGTTAGCAGCTTCGGTGAGCGCTGCTGAGGATCAAACCCGTATTCTCCCCGCCTTTTCTAACACAGGAAAATCACTCAGCCACTCAGGGAAGCTTTTTTTTTAAGCCAACGAATTTTAATCGTGCCACGCATCCAGTTATCAAGCTTTAGGTTGAGCTGCCCGAGGGGCTTCTGCTGGATGCACTGCTGACGGAATTAGTAATTTGGGTGGATTAGAGAGGAAGAGAACAAAACCCTGGAGTGTGTTTTAATATCAAGTGCTGTGACCTGAACGGAGAGCCTGACAAACACCGAGAAGTGGGGAGGGGCTGTGTGACGCCTGCTCTTCGGCAGGGGACAGGTCTCCGGGGCTGTCAGGCTGTCGGCTCGTATGCCCCACCCCCTGGGCTGAGCAGTAGACGGGGCTTTTCAGCCTTGTGAAAGGGCCAGCTATTGCTGCTACAGTGCTCACCAGTGATAAAATGAGGCGGAAACTGCCTGGTCAGAATAAAATCCGGTATTTCCTCGCACCATTTCCAAACTGAGTAAAACTAACATATAGAATCACTTCCTCTACAAATGAAAACCGGCACTGGAGGAGAGGAAATACAGAAGAATGCCTTCCCCAGCAAAGCATGCGAGGTCAGTGAATTGCAAAGGCACAGGCTGAGTTACTTGAGACAAGATTTAGCTGGAATACCAGGCGAACAGGCTGACATCTGGTTTTGTGGCTCATCTCAAAACTGCCCCTTTACGCTGCATTCCAAATGCTTCCTCCTGCTGCCCTGCTTCAAACCTAGCCCACACGACCAGCCGGGAGACACCTCTGTCAGAGCACAGGAGTCAGCTGCCCCGCCAGGACAATGGCTGCGAGTGCCATGCTGTGCTGCCTCTGCTGCCGCCCTGCCCACACTCACCAGATGCCCACGTCCTTGTTACTGCTCAGTATCCAGGTCAGAGCAGCTTCAAACTTGGCAGAGGAGCTGCTGGTCACATTCTGTGGGAGGGCGCGGGAGAAGATTAGTTCTGCGTCTGGGCGGAGCAGCTGGAACAACATTATTCTGTGGCTGGATTAAGGAAGCCCTCTCCCGTGTCCTCCACAGCCCCAAAGGTCCGTTCTGCTAAATGCACGGCGAACTGGCAGGGAGGGAATCTGATGAAAGCCAAGGAAGAGGCTGTAACCGGAGGAGGTGATGCAGGTCTGAGGCGGCCAAAGGAATATAATTTCCTCAAGGACTGAAGCTTTAGGCCTGAGGGCTGGTGGCTAATCTTGGGGCAAAATGAAAAAGCGCGTTGGGGTTGGGATGGGCCCAGCTGCCAGTCCCGGCTGTGTGGCCTCGGGCAAGTCCTTGACTCTCTCTAGGCCTCAGTGTCCTCATCTGTGAAATGCAAATTGAACTAGACGACCCATAAGGGGCTTGCCAGCTCCAAGGTTCCATAATTCCACCGCACAATATCGAACGGGCCCGAGCAGTCTGCACGGCAATCACAAGGGCACGTTAAACGTGAATCCTGAAAGCTGCCGAGGAGCGTGAACCAAGGAAGGAGCAAGCACGGGGCCCACGTGCGGAGGGCGGCCTGCAGCGCCGGCCACTGGCTAAAGCGTGAGCCCCACCTACGCCACATGGCAGGCCCGGCTCGGCACAGCGCCACCATGGCTGCCTTAACTTAAGGTAGCCCAACACTCCACTAAGTTTGAAAAAGAGGAAAAAAAAAAGCCACAAAGCAAACACAAAACGAAGAGGAAAAAAAACCCCGTAGGGCTTGAAAGATCAATACAGAAGCACCAGGCCCTCCCGGGAATGGATAAGCACCGGGCCTACTTACTGCTATGTATTCCTGGGCTTCCGTAACAGGAATGCATTTGCTTTTGAGCTTCTCTGGATTTCCACACTCAAAATTACCTAGAAGAAAAAGAACACACGTTCAAACACAAAGAAGAGGTAAAAAAAAAAAAAAAAAATCACTCTGAAATGGACGAAAACTGCAGCAAGAATCAAGCCATCAGCTCTAATAAGGAGATGTGGCCCAGCGGCTCCCCGGCTTCTGTGGGGCATCTTCACTCCGCGGCAAGATCAAAAGCCACTTAGCTTGGATCGATTCCAGATCATTAAAACCTGACCTGCAAAGCAGTGTGGCGATTTGCATTAAATGACTAAAAAGCTGCCCAATACCGAGGTCTCTTGGCAATTGATGCCTAAAAGGATCAGACAGATAGCTTCGGAAGATACCGGAATGGCGCTATAAATAAACATGGCCTGGGAAAAAAGGGAGGCAGGGAGTCTGCGGGCACCGCGGAGACTGTGACTCACAACACAGGCAGGTGGCCTGGAGCGCCGGGCCCGTTGTTTTGAGGGGTTCTGGGGAGAGATGTCCAAAACCGCCCTGCGGAGGAGGAGGGTGTCCGTATGCTGTGAAGGGGGCCTGGGCATGGCATGCCACGGGACAGCCCCCTCTGAGCAACCTGGGAGGACGGTGCCCATAGGATGGAGCTGGGAGCCTCCCCCTTCGTCCTGCCGGCCCCGCAGGCCCAGACCAAGGGGCACGTCCGCTGGGAAGCCCCCAGCCCACGGGGGCCTTTCACTTGGCCAGATCACTCCAGACTTGGTGGCCTGCTGCAGCCCTCGACTCTCCATCACGTGCCGTGGTTTACCTGCCACGTGCTGCTTGCTGTGGGTCCACCAGACTCCTGAGATCAGGGATAGCATAGGGCTGGGCACACACAACATCGTTCACGCTCACGCATGGCCTGACTGCCCTCAACCTGGCACGGCTATTCTCTGCGTGTGTGCGTGTGTGCGCGCTGGGGGAGCAAGTCGATGAAGGAGATATTAAACAATCTGGAGAATGAACTGAAGCCTGTCCTTCTACCTCCAAAAAGCCAAATCCTCCTCCTTCAAAGTTGATCTGGACCCTCTGGGTCCCCCAAGACCCAGGTGGCTTCTAGCATCCTCCTGCCCCCGCCTAGACTATCCCTGCCCTAGCCAGGCCGGCCTGGACCACCGCAATGGCCTCCTGATTGGTTTCTTCCTGTTCCCTTTCCAATCCACTTGTTTTGTCAATAAAGTTTTAAAATGATTCTGCTTAAATGACACTGCGCCGCTCACGCTACTGCCACATTTGCCTTCCTGGCACCTGGCTCTCAGCACGTCACTCCCCTGCGCAAAGCCTCCCTGACGCTCGCTGCCACTGGATCAAGCTCAACGCCGCAGCTGTCCACGGCAAGGCCCGATCGGCATCTCCAAACTTCATTCCCTCTGTTTCTCATCCCCCATGAAGCTGGTGCTTCCCATCCCTGACCTGTAATTTCCTACCTTTTCGGCTTTCCCCTTCTCACCCCACACATAACCAATCCTACCCAGGCTTCCTGGCCTGGCACAGATGCTGCCTCCTGCTGCTCCAGCTAAAAGGCATTCGGCCTCCCAGAACTTCTCGCCTCTCTGTTCTTGTCTAAGCGCATCTTATATCACCCAGTGGTCAGGGAGGGAGGTGGTCTCTTCTACTGGACCCCAAACAGTGTCATCGCACATCCTACGAGGGCCAGCACAGTGCCCAGCCCAGAGCTGGTCCAGAACAGGAGGCTGGGGGTGACGGGTGATGGGGTGAAGGGAGTGTGGCCTTTCTGAAAGGCCACACTCCTGTCTCAGTGAGCCCTGTATCTCTCTAGGGATGCCCCTACCAGGCTTGCCAGAGGACAACATGTGCCAGGACCACATTTGGAGGGTGGGATGGCGGAGAAATATCTACTAGGACCTAGTTTAGAGCAAAGCTTCTCAAATTTAGGGTACACACAAATCCCTGGGGGATCCTGTTAAAATACAGACTCTGATTCAATGGGTTTGGGATGGGACCTGAGAGTCTACGTTTCTAATAAGCTCCCAGGTGATGCTGATGCTGTTGGTCCTAGGACCTCAACTGAGATGCAAAGGCGTGGAACACCCTCTTAGGCCAGTATTTACGTCCCCAGCACCCGAGAACACAGAGGAATTCCCATGATGACTGTGACACTGCAAGCAGTGCCCCAACTTCTGCTTCTCCTCCGAGTGCTTGCGGATGCCTCCCTGATCGTCTCCAATCTCCACCTTCGAGAGGGAGGAGGTGGGAGAGCTGATGCCCACGAGACTGAGCCTGAGGACTGAGGGCCCCGTACGAGTCCACTCAACCGTCACTTCCCAGCGAAACCTCAGACAAGGTTTCACGAGCTTAAGACCTGCCCTCTGACGGCACAGGTGAGGGGCACCCCTCGAACGTTTGTTAAGACTGAACCACTCTGTCTGGTTCTTGTGCCAAGTGTATCTGCCACGAGGCACAAGGCCTAGACATTTACCTATGTCAGCAGCAAGTGATTTTGAGAGCCTGCTAGATGCCAGGGGTGGGGAGGGCACAATAATGCAGGTGACCTCTCTGGCCTTAAAAAACGAGTTCACCACATGACATAGTGGAGGACCCTTCTGCATTAGTTTCCAGAGGGCATGCTGAGGGGTGCTGAGCGTGCCCTCCTCCAGAAGACAGCGCTGACTTTCGTTTTGTATACGGAAGACAGACCCAAGATCCCTCGGTCCCATGGGGAGAAAGAGGCCTTGAGAGGATCAGGGACTTGTCCGATATCCTGCAGCCAGATGGGGAGATCAGGACCAGGCCCACCACACAGACCACCTGCGGCCTGCCTCTCCCCAACCCGTCGACTGTCTGGGTCAGGGAGGCTCTCCAGGGCAGGGGACACAGACTCTGACAAGACCTGGGGCCTGGCCCCTTCCAGGGCTAACACAGACCCCAAAGCAATAGGTAGTGGGCATCCCCGAGAAGAGAGAACATCTGCTGAAATGCCCGTGCACATGCCAGGACCCTGGAACCCTTAAACAGGAACAAGCACCAAATGTGTTTTGCCCAAACACAAGGCCTATCAAAGATGTCTGAGTGGGGAGGTGAGAAGGCCAGGTTCGGCTTTTGAATATGTCTTCAGGGAGACAACCAGGGAGCGTCTTAGCTGCCTGCCGGCCACCTGGCCTAACTAATCAGCCTGACTGGTCGGGGCAGCAGCCCACACCTTGCCCAGGAGGAGTCTCAGGACTTCTGCCGCCTACTCACCAGCTTGGATGGCCAGGAAGTTGTACAGTTCGTGCAGCAGCTCCAGCAAGGCCGCCTTCTGCTTGGCCTGACAGAACTGAAAAGGCACAGGACAGCCAGTCAGCGAGGTGAGAAGGGAGGTCTGCCCACTTCTACCTCTCTGGCCACACTGTCAGGTGCTACGCAGCAAGGAACACCTTATACTTCTAAGAAACAGAAAGAAATTCTGCGAAGTACTGGCCTAGGTCGCAAGATGATAAACACCAGGCTAGCTGCCTGAGAGGACACGGTAGAGGTGGAGGCAGAGCTGAACAGACACAGGTACTACGGGGCTGCGTCCCAGGGGCTCCCCGCCTGTGCCCCGCAGCCCCCCTGGAATAAAGGCCAGTAGGAGGGCCGTGGAGCAGAGGTGGTGTGGTTGGAGGTTGCAGGCAATAGCCGAGCTTCCTTAGAGGGAAGAACAACCGCTGTCGGAGCTTACAGAGCTTGGAGGGGACAGGACAGCATGTCAGTGGCTGCTGTCTTGTCTCCCCCTTTAGGGACAACCTCGGGGCCCTCATCTGAATAAGGACTGTGGTGAGGATTCAGTGTGAGCTCACACACAAACCACTCAGCATAGGCTAATGCCACCTAAAGGAAACAGGAGGACAGAAGGTACCAGATAAGGAGACAGTCTGATTAAGACGATACACCCACTCCCAGCCTGGCCCCCCGTTTTCAGCAGCACAAAGGCAGAAAGAAAAACACAAAGTGTCACAGTCTTCAACGGCTGAAAAGGGAAAGAACACGTATCTGAAACTCGAATGCCCGTCTGGGTTCTCCGTGAGCCTGGAGCTACATAAAAAATGAGACTTTCTGCAGGAGCCTCGCCAGAGCCAAGAAGCACATCCCAACCCGTGGCTCCGTAAAGGCCGAGGGCACCGTGAAATCTCAGCCTCCTGTGTTGAGACGGCCCAGGCCCTGCTTCTCGGTGCTCTGATGCTAGCTTGAATGGTTACGAATATCAAACATCTGTGCTTGAAGCCTGTCTAGCAGGTGCCGGATGCTGTCTGCTCACTGAGCACATCTTTAGCGAGGACCTGAGGGTGCGTCTGGGCTCACTCAAGTGGGGCGTGAGTGTGTCCAGCTCTGAGGAGGGCCACGGAGCAAATGCATCATTCACCTGTGAGTCTGATACGTTCAAAGATGTCAAGGACCAAGGAACAGAAACCAGGGAACCCTTTTCGAATTAAAAGACAAACTAACAGCACAGAGAAGTCTTACAGAAAGTTATTTTTTTCCTATTTTTGTTTTCAGTCTTTAAAATTCTAGTTTCCCCGCTGGCTGCTTGTTTCTGGACTACTTCCTCTAGTCATCAACCGCAGTTTTTATGATGGAAGGCAGATTAGCCGTATTATGGATCTGTTTTTACAAAACAATTGGGAACCAAAGATATTTGGTGGATGAATGCAATAAATGGATGTAATAAAACACACCCAACCATGATATACCAGAATCCGGTTATCTGCACCAGGACGCCCCTTCATGAGCCTGGGTAAGAGTCAACGCAGGGGTGTCCAGATGACCATGCATCATTTCTCTCTGGTCCCTGGGCTACCAGAGGTGTTAACTAAGGGCTCAGGAGGCCTGGCATTGCATACTCAATAATTAGACTACTAAGTCATGCCTTCTGGCAGCACAAGATTTCTGGTGGGATTTATGACCTGAGAATTTACTGCCTCGTATCTTCTCCAGACTGTCACGAGTGCCAGCACCCTGGCTCCTACCAATGCCGCTTTCATGATTCACGAATGGATGGGACTGCTTGCCTTCCCCCAATGTTATCTGTAGGGAATGTCAGAGCTTCACAAAACAAATATAAACATAGACTAAAAGAGCTAATTCTACTTAAGATGTGTTTCAAATAAACTCCTATGATGTTTCAAATCAGAGCACTATTTTCAGAGCCACAGACGTACCACCGAAGAGGAGAATGTGGAATTGAGAACCTGGCCTCCTGATGCTTTAACACCATCAGCCCTTCCGATGCAAGGGAGCTTGAGAGGTCCTTCAGCAACAACCCACCGCATCCCCTAGATTGACTCAGGCAGAAGATCAAAGTCCCCGATGCTACAACTGATGGGAGAGTTTCCGCAACAAGCCCAGGGGTTGGATCTGGGGAGCTCAGTTTTCTACATTTCAAGCACTCCTTCACTGCCACAATTGAGTCTGACACAAACATCACAGAACACAACACGATTCTGGTACATTACAGGAAGCACTCCCTGAAAAATGATCCTGTTCTTTCTGGGGAAGTTTACCTCCTGATGGAGGCTAATATCCTCAGGAGGAATAATAAAAGCCAGAGAAACTCAAACTCACCTCGTCTGTTTTTTCCTCACAGTCCACTGGCAATAATTTCACTGAGATCAAGAAAAGAAACACAGAGGAAATTAAAAGTGTGGGTTGAGGAAAAGAATACAGAGACCACTCTCAAAATTCAGGGGGAATAAAACATTACCGACCCAAGGGTAGGGACTAGAAACATGTCATCTAAATAGGCAGTTTTAAAATGCAGATAGTAAAATGTAAGGGTTTCTAAAACCTGGATTAGGAATTAATATAGCTGGGGCCTTATTCCAGCTATAAATAATTAGTCAAAGGTTCTTGGGCAACTCAACCACTCTGAACCTCTGTTTCCTCATCTGTAAAATGGGATTAAATAGGCCATCCCTTCTTAACTCAGGGAGTTAGGCTCAAACAAGACAACATATACAACAGTTTTGTAAACTGTAAAAGCAATATGTTAAACAGGAATAACATCATCATGGGAAGGGGACTCCATGTAACTCCCCGTATATATCCCAGAGCTGTGTCTTAAAGCATCTCAGCAGTGAGTTCAAATATGATACTGTTTGACATCACCAATGTAGTTATAGTACCTACAGTACCATGACACTCCCAGGTCTGCTTACTTTCTCTACTAGGTCAACAAACTAGCCACACAGTTGACAGACTGCTCTCATAGTGGAAAACTGTTGGGGTGTCTGCACAAGACTGTAATCCTCATGCTCACAGACTTGTACATACCCAACTATCCATCTGCCACAATAGCTAAGACATAATTTAGCTTTTTCCTCTATTTTGGTTGTTCCTGGTAGGCATAAAAGGTGCGGCCTTGGCTCAGGTCTGGGAACAGTATTAATCACATTCATGCTTTGCAAAGAATGTCAAAAGCTGGTGATCTACAGTGTCACTTTATGCCTAAATTTATAATGAAATGATGTCTATGTTATTTTCTGTTCGATTAGAGCCCAGAGTTAATGGAGAGGCAAACTTCCCTTTTAGAAAACACACAGATCCTCAGCTATTCAGGAGACATATTGTATCCTGCAGACCTCTCATTGGCATGTTTAATTAGGTAACTAAGTGTGGTCAGAAGGATGGCTAGGAGCGTCCTTGAATCACAGACCCTCTCTTACACTCCATGTGGATGCTGCAAGCAATGATAAATGTCTCCCGATGGTATCAGTTTAAATTCTTCAAAATGTTCTTAAACACCTGTCTATACTAGCAGGTAGGGCTAGTACAATCTCCTTTTGCAAATGAGGGCCCTGTGGTCCAAGGAAGTGGAGAGTGGCTTTTTGGTGTTGCAGAGCTGGGACCCCAGCTAGATCCCATCTGTGGGCCAGTGAAATCTGGGGTGCCTTCAAATGGGCCCTAATGTGTGAGCGAGAAAAAGATCAAAAGGGAAGAACTAAAAAGGAATGCGTGGACCTGTTTGTGGGAGGGAGGTGTGGCTTTCTCACCAGAGAGAAAACCAGAGGGTGGGGGAAAAGAGAACGCAAAGACTGCTCCCTGCTTGTGGGTGAAAGGGAGACATTAGAAGGGAGGGCTAGGACAGAAAAGGAGAAAAGGACAAAGTGAAGGCAAAACTTATTACAGATGCAAGGGTCCTGGTCCTCTCTTCCCACAGCTGGAAGAAGGAAACCGAAGGTCTGGAGGTGGGAAGGCAGAAGCAGCTGACAAGGCCAGGAGTGTGAGGCCTGGCGCTGAGAAGAACCAGTGGTTGTCCCGGCGGACACACGCGCCCCCAGGGCCCTCCCCTGTGCCGGCCCAGGACGTACTGTTGTCCTCTGCCTCCTGTGGCGCCGAGGGCTTGCCCATCTTCACCCAGAGGATGCCCAGGAAAACGAGCAGCAGCCCCAGGCTGGCCCACAGCAGAAGCCTAGACAGGCAGCGCTCCAGCCGCCGCCCCACCTGGGGCCGGGCCCGCGCCGCGCCAGCAGGGCCGGCTCGCGTCGCCCGCAGGCCTGGTCGCGGGTCGGGGCCGAGGAGGGCGGAGGGCGGCCGCGCTGGGGCCGGGGAGGCGGCCCACCAGCGGCGGGCGGCGAGGCCCTGTCCCTGCACGGCCCGGTCGAGCGTCCGGGCGTCCTCGTCCTCCTCAGAGCTGCCCCGGACCGAGGCGCGGCGCCTGAGCGGCGCAGGGAGGGCGGAATAGGCGAGGCCGCGGCTCCCTACCCAGGAAGCCGAGGAGGCCCCGAGGTCGCCGTAGGCCCCTGAGGTCGTGCAGGCCGAGCCGGAGGACGGCTGGGAGAGCCAGGGCTCCGCCCGCAGAGAGGCCGCCGCGGGCCGGGCGCGCAGCGGCGCCTCGTCGCGTAGCCGGGCCTCCTCCCGCAGCCGCTCCTCGCCCCGCGCCCGGGCCTCCTCCCGCGGCCGCTCCTCGCCCCGAGCCCGGGCCTCCTCCCGCAGCCGCTCCTCGTCGCGCAGCCGGGCCTCGCCCCGCAGGCGGCGCAGCTTGTTGCGGTAGACATCCCGAGTGGTGTCGGTGATGGGTCCTGGCTGGAAGCCCAGGGCCTGCAGCTCCCGCCGCAGCTCCAGGTCCGACAGGCCGGCCATGGCCAGGACACCGCCCCCGCCCGCCCCCGGCGCGCACCGCACCCGGAACTGCTCCCTCCGGCTGCCGCGGCTGAGCGGGCGGGGCCCCGCGCCATGATGGGAAGGTCGGTCGAGGCCGCCATGTTGGGAAGGTCCGCGCCTCGCCGACGGGTCAGCCATGTTGAGGAGGTCGGATTCGGCTTTCAGGGCTGCCACGGTGTGGAGGTCGATATTACTTTTTTATTTTTAATTTGCCCCTCTTGCTCTATTGCTGCCCAACCGGGTTGTATTGCCCGCGGCACAGAAGAGCCAATACACTGAGGCAGTCAGAGTTGCAATGGGGAAAGGGTTTAATTCTGCGGGCGCTAAGCAGGGAGACAGGAGGAATTTCTAAAATCTGCCTCCCCCAGAATTTGGGAGACAGGATTTTTAAAGATAGTTTGGTGGGCAAAGGATTAGGCTATTGGGTTTGTTAATTGGTTAGGTTCCGGGCAAAATTACAGAGGTGTAGAAATCATCTTGCATTGAGTCAGTTGCGGGTTGGGGTCACAATTCCAGTTGAGTCAATTTCTTGGGATGTGCTGCTAGTCGGGGTGGGTCAGCCAATCCACCAGAATGGGGGCCTGGAAGGTATCTCAGAAACTACCTTTAGGTTTCTAGAAGGTGATGCAGCAATTATAGAGAAGCAAACGGGGACGGTGGCTGATAATTATCAATATTTTTAGCTAGGCCGGTGCCTTTGCAGAGTTTTAGGCCCTTACCACAGTTCTTGCCTTGCACCCCTTTGTTGATTCGTAAAGGGTGGTTTCCTCTCCACCCTTCCCTTTCCCTTTCTTAGACCAAGTGGTGTTTATTTCATAATCTTCTAGCGTAGTCCCTGGTGCACAGTAAGCATTTAATAAAGTCGCGTTGATTTAAGGGATGAAATACTTAATGATGGAAGACAAGCCACTGCCACAAGTGGGGAGACGCTACCGTCCTCCTCTCTCTCCGCTTGGGAACTGATGTGTGATCAGGTTTTATTGGGGTCGTGGAGTAGGCCCCAGGCGTGCTCCCAGCCCCTGTCCCTGACTTTGGGCTGGTTCACTCTGCGGACACTGGGTACCACGGGGGTGTGGGCCCTGCCCTGGGACAGAAACTGGCCCCCAGGCTGCATCCACTGTGGAGGCAGATGAGCCAAAAGTGTGCAGTTGAGGCTTCTCGGAGGAGGCGGTGTGACTCCTGCACAGTGGAATTTTCATAAGGAGAGATGGGTAGAGGAAGACTCCGGAGACCCACAGTCTTGCCATCCCTTATAGTTTAGGAGGTGGGCTTTGGAGCTGGACAGTTTGATTTCAAATCCCAATACCACAACTGTTAGATGTGTGAGCATATCCAATTAACGTTTCTAGCCTGTTTGCCAGTAAACCTCGGCACGGTTGCTGTGAAGATTAGAAGAGGTAGTTTGTGTAAGTCTGGTGCTTAGGGCAGTGCCAGGCACGTGCACACAGTGTTTGTACTAACCCGCATCTCCGTCGTTGCTGTGTAGAGCCCCCCCACAGGGCAGGTGATTTGCCTGCACAAAGGCTCTGAGCAGGAAACCCATAAGGTAAGCAAGGGAAGTTGCGGCAAATGGAAACAGAGCCATAGTTCATAGTCTTCCTTCCACCTGCCTCCCCTCTTTGTATTCCTTGCACGTCCCTTCCCAACATTTATTGCCAGCCTTGTAGTTTCTACCTCCCCCACAATTCTGTCCCCCCACCTCCCTCCTGGGGTCTCCCTGTAGCTTTACCCAACAGGCACATCACCACCCCCCACCTGTCCCTCCTCTCCCCGGCACCCTGAGCAGTGCTTCCCTGTTGGGGTTTGGCATGCCTGCCACTTGCTCTACCTCAAGGGTATTCAACACTGGCCACAGTTGCTGGGAAAATTACAGCCTCAGCTTGGTCAGGCTTCCGGTGTTGGCCTCTCCATCTCCCCGACTTAGCTGCTCCCATGTGGTGCGATTTCTCTCACCAAGTGTTGTTTTCCTTTTCTCTGCCTGTGTTTGCACGGAATGCCATGAATTTGATATAGTGATTGCCTAACACATATACCACATAATAGTATTTTATTTCTTTCTGAAGCACTGTTTGCATGACAAATGAGTTGGTAACATTTGTGCAACTCCTTGCAGCTGTGCAGTTCGATATATAAAGAATGAGCCTTTCGGCGTCAATACTGGCCCCGTGTATTCTAAGAGGGCTTGAAACTAATGCTTAAACAAAGTTAACATCACAGCATTTCACTGAGCTATGGTCTATTTGATCACAATGGATCTCAGGGCGATTTAAAAATATGGACTGAACTGGGGCCACCCCCAGAGTGGTATGTGGTGTGGGCTGTGTCAGCCTCCCTCGTGTTTGGGGAGGCTGGTTAGTGCTGCCGCTGCTACTACACACATTCGGGGCCAAATGGCCCAGCCCCTTCCCCTGAGCCCTCTTTCCTCCCTAGCATAGAACCCATCATATTTGCAGCTGTGGCTGTTTGCCACCCACGGTCATCCCTCTGCCTCCATGGTGGCTTCTGGCTGCCAATGGCCTTGTCCTGCTGGGTCTGACAGGCCTTTAGTGTGTGCACCAGCAGGCACCCAGGCCCTGAGCCACTCACAGCGTGTTTGCTGGTCGATGCCCCCTTCCCCACCACCTCCGAGAAGAAAGCTCACGCGTCAGTCAACTGTCAGTCATTCCTCCCAGGTCTCGGCCTTTCTGTTTTCCTCCTGAACTCCCTGCTCCAGTCGCGCCCCTTGCCTGGATTTATATCCCCTACTCGTCCTCCGTCAACATTCTCTGCCCGCAAGGCCTTTTTGCCCAGTTTAGTAAAATTGGTTTGTTGCTTTTTACTTTCCTCCGCACACTCCCTGCCCCTCGGAAGGGCGGGGCCTCAGCCTCAGCGCTGCTTCGAGCTGCCCACCAGGCCCCAGGCCCCTCAGTCTGCCTTTCTGTGTGGTCAGCGTGGCGCTCCTGCTGGGCCTGTCCAAGCCAGGAAGGCCTGTTTGAAAGAAAAGGGCCATATTGCAACGTCAACGGCTGCCCTGCACGCCCTCCTCCCTCATCGCTTCCTTGCGGGTTTTTTAAAGGTGAGCAGCTCAGGCTGTGGTCGCTCTTCCTGATTTATTAAAGGCAAGAGAGGAAAAGCAAGCTCCAGTGTCTCAGCCTACTTAGTAACCACATCCACACTGTTAGCGGAGGTGAAGGGCTGCTCGGAGCAGGCGCCGGATTCCCGGAGGGCTGCCACGCTCCCTTCCGCCCCGCTGACCTCTCTCTGTCTCCGCCGAGCCTGGTAATAATAACGGCCATAAATCTTTTAGTGGGTTCCATTCTCCTCCTGCTGCAAAAAGCCCTGGAACAGGACATCTGTCAGGTCCTCAGAGATGCTCAGGGACCATGGACTTGTCCTTGACCCACCTCGTCACGGCCTCTGGGCTCCTCGGGGCTTCCTTCAAGCCACGTCGTGGGTGGCATCACAGTGGGGCCGGGGCACTGGGAGAGTGTGGTTGAAAACGGGGTGCCATTTTGGGCCCAGACTTTGACTGGAATGATCCCAGGAGCACCCGGTTTCCTGTTGCCTCATCTCAGGCCCTTGTGGAAGAGGAGGTCACCTTCCTCATCACTCTCTAGGTTCCAGGGTATGTCAATGTAGGGGGGTCAGTAGAGTCACAGAGAAATGCCACAGTGGGTTTAATAAGCAGTTATGCCACCTGCTTTTCATAATCTATTAAAAATTAAACAAAACTCTCACTCTTTTGACAACTCTCACACTTTGATATCGGTGGGTAAGAGTTCTTTAGAGACATGGAATAAATTACCCAATGTCAGTAACAAATTGTGTATGAAGGGAAGTGTAATGCCTTCAGAACATTTTCTTTTGGTCTTTGTTCATGATTAGATTATACTAAATTACAGCGTGCAGGTATCAGGCAATTACTCTTTGCTTTTAACTATTCAATTTCATGGCAAATCCACATAGCTCAGTAATTCCAAAATCACACCAGTGTGTTTACGGAGAAAATACCTCATCATCTCCATCTTGTGAAACGAGGTTCAAGTTGCCCTGTAATTACCTGTGGTCCTGGTAAGCATAAAGAGCATTCCGAATAAAGACAGGGTGATCTGTACCTCTCGGTGCTTGCCAGGTATCTGCAGAGATTCTTGCAGATTTTGCTGGATGACCCTCAGTGAGATGTGCGGAGGAAAGGCATCCTTGCCCTGCCGTTACTCTGGGCACCCTCCCTGTCTCTGATCCTGGCTGGTTTCTGGTCCTCCTCATTCTATAGCTTTTACCAGGAGGGTGTCTCTCTTTTCCTCTGTTTTGTGAAAACATGGTCATTTTATCTTGGCTCAGCTCACAGAATCCTCCCCAACCTCCCCCCAATTTTAATTTCTTCCAGGGCTGTGCATGTCCCATAAGCAATCGAGTCTGCTGTCCTGGAAACTGGAGGAGCTCGTTGGTGAAAAAGAATTATTTGAGCAGATTGTGAGAAATCGAACAGTGGCAGGAGGAGGAAAACGAGAAGAAAGGAGCCGACACATCTAAACAAGCGCCGGGGCACTGCGCATACAGATGTAGGCGGTAGCTGGGCCTCTGTTTCGGCTCATTATCCAGAGGCACATCAGAGGGGTGAGGGTCAGGGACATTGGGCTGTGGTGCTGAGCTTTGAATGAGGCTTTCCTGCAGAAAAGACAGCACCCGCACCCTTCCCCAGTGCTGTGCTTGCTGAACCGATTCCCATTTTAAAAAATGCAGACCACCTGGAGCGAAGTCTCCTAGGAGCCCCATTTCCCTCCTAGCAGCTATTTCAACACTGCTCTCCAACGCCCAGGATCTCGGGGAAACTCTCCAGCCCCAGAGGTGGGCACCCCCTGCTGGTGCTGGGGGAAGGTGGTCTCGCTACAGGGGCAGATTCCGGCGGAGGGTGAGGGAAGGACACTGAGCCTGTGCCTTCCACGGGAAAGAGACTGAGCATCTTGTTTTTCTGCTTCTTGGAATGTGTTACAGATAATGGGTGAACTGGCATGGGGGAGCGCGGAAGGGCAAGGAGGAGTCTTGCTCCAGCTCACAGGAGCAGCACGCGTTACAGGTCTCTGTGTCGTTCCCTCCCTTTCCTCCCGCGTGCCCCGCTGCGGCAGCCCTCTCTCTGTTTGTTACCGGACGTCTCGGCAGCGTTTCCTGGGAACCCGCAGCCTCTCTTGGGTCGATCAGCGTGTGCGCTGGAAACGTGCGCGAAGGTGCAGTGTGGCAGAGTCTCAGGCCCACGGAAGGTCTGGGTGTTCCTCAGGAGAATTCAGAGCACCCCAAATGAGGGTCCTTTTTAAGGGTTAGTGTTATTCTGGCAACTGCTGTCCGTGGCTAAGGCCTGGCAGCAATTGGGGTGGTGGAAATACAGATCGGACACTGTGTCTAATTGCTGGTGACCTACGGATGGAGGGAGCTGTGGTTTCCGTACGGCCCCAGTTTATAAATAAATGAACATTCATTAATGTAAAATTAAATTAGAATGAAATCCCCCATCCAGTTTTGTTTAGAAGGCAGAAATAAGTGGGCTGGCTGTGTGATTTTGCTGTGGATGCTGGAGCATGTAGTTACCAGGTGTTAATAATAGTAGTGACCTGCTCCTTGCTGGTGCCTCAGTCCCCAGGTTTCCAGGCAGATATTGCCACCTGCTTCCGCAAAGCCTCACTGAGGTTAAAGGGCTGGTTGGAAGTTGCTCAGCAAGGGGTCGCGTGCAGAGAGAGGCCTTAAAGCCCTCTGGCCCGTTAGACCTGCGGCCCATCAGTCAACAGAAAACCAGTAAACAGGAATCAGACCAGGATTCAGGAGACCCGAATTCCAACCCTTGCTTTGCCACAGACTCGGTGTGCGCGCAAAAAATGCCATTTCTCCGAGGCTCAGTTTCCTCTCCTGTGTTGGCAGGGCCAGTGAGAATCTTCCAGCTGTGCAGGTCTGAGTTAATCTTGGAATTTAGAACTCAGGAAAGGCGCACACTTTGCTGTGTGTGCACCGGGGTAGCCAGCTCCCTCTGAGCTCTACTCCCCCGCCTCCTCATGACCTGAGTTTGCCCTTTGGAAATTAAAATATTAAATAAGAGTCCTTTCTGTGAATTTCATGCTTTATTTGCTGGAGGGGATTTGCTCTGGAAAGGGTGTTTTCCTTCCGAGCCCCGCTGGTGGGCGGTGCAGATTTCTGGAGCCTCACTCAGGCAGGAGGGGCTCCCAGATCTGCCCACCTGCTCGGGGCTGTCACTTGGCTGCTGAGGAAAAGAAAAGGGCTGCAGCTCAGTGCTGTCAGCAGGTTTCTCGTGAAACTGCCCTCTAAAACCTGCCTGCAGGTGGGGGAAGAGGGGCCATTCAGGCAGGCAGGGGAACTGGGAGGTGGGAGGTTTTGCAAGGAGCTAGGAAGCTGGCTGTAGCCCCGGGCAAGTCATTTAACCTCCCACTTTCTCCATCTCTGACACTTCCTCAGTGTCTCTCTCCTGTCTTTCTGGGGACTATGAGAAGTAATTAGTGGCTGTTTGTCAGAGGAGATCTGGCTTTGCACAAGTAACTCGGACAGACCTTGAACTTTGCAAGGCCAAATGGGGCTTAGGACTTCGATTTGCAGAACTAGCGGGGAAAAGAAAACCGCACCAGGGTTTCCTTCAGAGTGGCCACCCAGCCTTGGTGGTGTTTTGGGAGGGAACGGAAATATCTGGAGCGGGGAAGGGTTGGGTGGGTTGCTGTCGAGCTGTGGAGGCCCTCTGCCGGAAGGGCCTCTGGGAAACGGGCCTGAGACACCCCTCCCTGCAGACATCGGAGCCTACCCCTCTGTGATTAGGTTGCTCTCTGGGGAGAAAGCACCACTGTTCTCAAGCGCAAAGCAGAAAAACAAATCACTGCCTCAAACCCTGCTCAGGCTGCTCCTAGAATATTAACCCCCGATGGGTCACGGAGACACCCCGCCTGCGAGTACCGTTCTGCGTGGACAGCAGCTCCTTGCTCAGCAGCCCTTCCAGGGAGGCCCAGTACTTTTCCAGCTGCCTGGAATTCATCCTCATTCCAATTTCTGCAGGAGCAGTGAGCTGTGAAATAAGGCCGAGTTAACAAGCAGGGAGAGGTGCGGAGTGGGCGCTGGGCCCTGGGTGCCCTACAGGTGGTGGGAGGGATCTGGCCTCTAGGGCCCGCTGAGAATTCTGGCACCTCTCCCCAGTTCTAAGCAGAGGGGTGGATCCTGCAAGTCCCGGGAGATCCGCACACCTCCCCTAATGGGGAGCTGGGACAGGAGGGGTGGGGCGGCTGGAACCCCCCTGGCTTTTCATATGGGGAGGGAACTTGCTCCCCCCTCAATGATAATAGCTAACATCGAGGAGCCTTACCATGTGCCGGTGTCATTCTAAATGCTTTATGTATATTAAGCCTCTCAATAGCCTAATAGTAGAGACTATTAGTTTCCCCTTTTGCAGACGAGGAAACTGAGGACAGAGAGGTTGAGTAACTTGCTCAAGGCCACACAGGTAGTAAGTACCAGCCTGGCTCCAGGGTCTGTGCCCATGACCACCAGGCTACCTTTCTCTCCCTGTCTGGAGGCTCTCCTCCAGGAGGGGTTCTTACGGCCTCAAGGGGGAGGCCAGGGTGCAGATTGACTTCCCTGTCACCCCCCGAGCGTCCTGGCTCAGTGGTCTTGCTGCACGAAGTAGCTGGCAGACTCGGAGATTCCCTGCCTGTGGAGAGTTGCATGGAGGAGTCCCAGCGCCCGCTCCCCAGCTCCCGCCGGGCCCCCTGGGTGTGGGGAATGGGTCCTCTAGACCCTCGGGGGCTCAGTATGTGTGAGTCCTGCCTGTGCCACCCCCTTGCTGTAGTTCTGCCTCTCCCTAGGCCTCTGTGTCCCCACTTTACAATGGGGGGCTGGACTGGGTAGTCCAGAAGGGACCTTCCAGCCCCATGAGTCATGGTTCTGGGGAGATGGAAAGGGCAGGAGAGGTACCGCTCCCCAAACCTCCCCCAAAAAGGTGACACTGGATGTATCATGTCCCATGGAAACCCTGGAGTTAGTGCCTCAAACTCTGCCTCCGGTGAGTTTAGAGGGCGATAGTGATTCTGAGAGCTCCCCCTTGCTGGCCGCAGGACTCACTCCCAGCTCCCTCCTCGTGAGCCCGAGGAGGTCAGGGTGCATATGGGGAGGAAAGGGGCCCCACCCCGCTGAGTGCAGGGACCGCACTGAGGTCACTATCTGGGCCATGTCTTGCCAGCCAGGACAGGTCAGTGGCCGGAGTGTCCAGTGGGAGGAGGCAGGAGTCCGGCCCAGCTCTGCCCTGCCTCCTGTGTGACCTTGGCAAGGCCCTCGATCTCTCTGGATGCCAGTCTTCTCACCCCCAGGCCCCTTCACGTGGAGGTGCCCACACGCAGGCCTGGGGCCTCTCCTTCTCCATCCGCACCTGCTCCCTTAGGTAGCTCACCCAGTCCTGGCTTGAAACTCCATCCAATCGCTGGTGGCTCCCATGTTTACACCTCCAGCCCTAACCTCTGTCCTGAGCTCCAGACTTGGTTGTCCACCTGTCTATGCAGTGCCTCCACCTGGATGCCCAAGAGCATCTCCTAATTCACAGGTCCAGTCGGACCTCCTGATCTTCTTCCTGACAACCTGCAACCAACCCTGGACCTAAACTGTCTCAGTTAGTGGCAAATCCATCCTTCCAGCTATTCCAGCCAACACCCTTAGAGTCAATTTTTACTATTCTCTTTCTTCACATCCTGTATCCATTCTTTCAGCAAATCCCATGAGCTTTTACCTCCAAAATAGTTCTAAAATCCAACCACTTTGCCCTGCCTCCACCATGACCACCTGAGGCTGGGCCTTTCCCTCCCTCTCTTTCTCTCTGCTTCTCTTACGCTAGAGCAGCCTTCTCAGCGCTTTCCCTAATTCTGCCTTTATCCCTTCAGTCTGCCTGCTGCTTGGGGTGCTCTTCGCCCAGACGTCCTTCTGGTTCACTGCCTTGCTCTCTCCAGGTCTTGCACTAATCCCATCTCCCTGTGAAGCCTGCACTGTCACCCTGTCTAAAACTGCAGCCCTCCTCCTATCCTGGCCCTGCTTTGTCCCCTCCATGGCACCTGTCACCACCTGCCGTCCTACAGAGCTTGCTCGCTCTGCGTACCTTGTCTGTGGTGTTTTCCTGGTCCTGGGATCCTGTTTCTGCTTGCCCACTGGAGCGTGAGTGCCACAGGGGCAGGGATTTTGTCTGTTTTGTTCGCTCCTCTGTCCCCAGTGCCTGGAAAAGTGCCTCGTACATAGTAGGGACTCATTTATTCATCACTCGAATAAATGAGTGTGTGAAATAAAGGAGCTGGACGGGACAAACTCAAGGCTCTGTCCAGCCCTGACAACCCACGTGTCCTAACTTGGGTCCGGAGCGTTGACCCGCAGCTGTCTCCTGGGTTCCAGTCCAGGATGCGGGGAACTGTTGTGCTCGCCACCTCTCCCCTAGCACCGTGGCTGCCTCCTGCCTCCACTCGTGCTGCCCCAGTTCTAAATCGGATCAGTGGTTTCCCTGCTTTGGACCCCCGGTGGCCCCCAAGGCCCTGCCCACCTCTTGCCCTCTCTTAGCACCCCTGCCACAAGGGCCGGAAACCTACCAGGTGCTCCTGAGCACAGCCCTGCACTCGCTGTTCCTTCCTCTGTTCCTTCCTCTGTTCCTTCCCCTTGCTCCAGTCCTTTGCACAGGTGGCTCCTTCTCTTCATTCAGGTTTCAAATCGAACGCCACCTCCTCCGAGAGGCCTTCCCTGACCACACCCCCAAACAAAGCAGTGCCCAAACCCCACACAGGCTCCCTCTGTCCTACTTCCTCATTTGGTACCTAAAATGATCGATTTGCCCCACCGTTGGTGTCCGTCTCTCCCTCTTAGGATGGCACTTGTTGCCTGGGTGTCTCGCTCACTGCTCCATTGTAGGACACCCCCTGGCCGATGGTGGCTCGTGGGCCCTGCCTCCTGGCCAGGCCGGGGAGCCACGTCCTACGCCGAGTTTCTCGCCATTGTCCCCACTGTCTGCTCACCTTGATCACCTCGTTTCTTTCTTCCTCCGCGGGCTCCATGGGGCCTACAGGACCTGGCTCCTCAGACCTCTGCCACACACTCAGGGACTTCTTGTGCCCTTTATTCCGTTCCTTTTCCTGGGGGCAGAGCATGAAATTGCACGAAACCGCCCTCCCTCAACCCCCCAGTTGGCCCCTCGCCCGTCTCCGTCCGCCCAGGGTGCGAACTGCGCGGAGCTCCTACGGGCTGAAGGAACCCCCTCCCCAGGTGCCCCCGCATGAGGGTCTCAGACTGCCAGGGGCTTAAGGATGGCCTCGGGGTTGCCCACCAATGGGCCAACTTGAAGAGGAGCCCATTCTTTGCGCCCAGATTGTTACTGTTAATTAAGTTAAAGAGCTGAAAATTATGGCCATGCTTCGTGCATATTAAGTGTGAAAATGTGTCTTTCTTAGCAGAGAGCCTATAAAATAGGTAGCAAGACAGCCTCGCCTGCGAGGGCGCCGTGGGGTGGCCTGGGAACTCAGAGTCCCTGGGAGGTGATTTATAAGAGGCAAGACAGGAGATGAATTACGGAGGAAGGAGTTTGCAGCTTCTTCATAAAAATCCCCATGCTTGGCAATTATGAGCAGCAAAACCAAGGAGCAGATTAATGCAAAGTGTCCTTTGGTTGCCATTTTACCAGTGTATATTCTACTGAGCTTGACTGTTCCTGTCCAGCCCCCAGTCTTGCCTGGCGTGCTGCTTGCCAGGTCCCTGAGCACAGAGACTAGACACACCCTGTTCCTTTGGTTTCTCTTGGCATCCTGCTGTGGGCCTGCCCCGAGACGTGACTCTGCTGGGGAGAGTGAGGCAGCATGGAGGGAGGTGCGTAGGGCCTGCTGCAGCGGCTCCCCCAGGCCCCGCGTCCGCCCCTGAAGCAGGGGGTCTGGGTTCAGCCTCCGAGCAGGGCCCTGCTCTCTGGGAAGACGGAACCCCCCGTGCAGCCACAGGCAGACTGTGCCACAGAGCCTGCCACCTCCCAGGGAGCTAACTTGTGTGCTCGTCCCTATCGCAGGCTGGGTCTCAGGCCGGTGGGGCACGACACCCCCATGTCTTCATCTCCTTGGGTGAAAGGGAAACAAACGTCTGCACAGACACTCGGCGTCCCCTAAAGCCCAAAGGAGAAGGTGCTGGGGAGACAGAGCCAGCAGCCCAGTCCCCTGAGGCCGCGCTGCCTCAGCTCCAGCAGGCCTGCCTTGCTTTGCTCTGGGCTCTGAAGACGAGGCTTTTGCCACCGCTACATGGAATGCCACCCTGTGTCCCACCTCCAGGCGCTGGCTCCCATTGGCCCCTCACTCCTGGTCTCTCAGGGCCCCCTGCTGGGTGTCACCTTTCCCCTGCAGGCTTCCAAACAAGCTCCAGCCCCTGGTGACTTCTCCTTCCTCTGAACCTGAGCGCTCACCATCAGCATCGCTTATGGGGCAATTCGTCATGTCCTGTTGTGACATCTCTCATCGACGCGACTGTTAGTTAATGTTTCATGTGTTTGTGTCATGGCACCCTAGCCTGCTCCTTGAAGACGGGGAGGTGCTGAGGTTTCCATGCATGCTCTGGCCCATCTCCCGGGGTGGCCCCTTGTACTGCAGAGAAGCTCAGTAAATATTCATCAGCTTGTTAATTTAAAATTTCCTCTAAAGGGTGGGCAGGGGTGAGAAAGATGCTGCCACTGACAGCTGTGAGGGATGCTGGTGAAGGAGTGGAGGCGGCCAGAGTGACGGCTGGAGCCCGGGGGGTCTTGGGTCCTGGTTCTTTCCGCTCTCTTTGGTGTCACTGGCGCAGGTAATCAACGCGGGCTTGATTGTGGAACAAGCCCCTCCCCAGCTCCAGTGCAGCTAGCTCCCTACTGGCCGCCATCCAGAAACAACAGGGAGGGTGCCTCCTCTCTGCAAAGGAGCATGCATGCTTCAGAGACACCAACCACTTCAGGGCTGAGCGGGGCTGTGAGTTACCCCAGCCGTGTCAGCGAGGTGGGCAGTGGGGATCTCTTACCTGCATCCTCTGGAGTTCACCGTAGGTGAAGATGGGGACAAAGGCTTCCGTCTGGGAGGCCAGCATGGTGGCTGCGTGCACCACCAGCAGGGCAGCCACAGCCTTGTGGGACACCATCTTGGAGCTGGACAATGACAAGGAACTCTTGTCACCAGGTTTAGGGCACAGTGGAGGACTGCAGCATTGGAGGCAGGAGCCCTCAGCTCTGGTCCATGCCCCACCTACAGCTGTGTGATCTTTAGTAAGACCTTGGCCTCTCTGGACTTGGGTCTAGTATCAGGGCTTTACCAGATGAGCTCTGAGCACCCTCCCTGCCTCAGAGCTGTGACAGCCGACCAAGCTCCTGGGAAAGGCCACCCAGACCCCCGCCACACACCAGGGAAGAATCATTCCACTCGTCAGCCCTTCTTTTTGTTACAGGAGAGGTCTTCTGGGGCCAGCTGGGGTCATACCAAGGAACCTCATCTCTCAGAGAAAGAACTCCTAGATTCTCAACAGAACCACGTGCCAAGACCCAGGGAGACCTCCCTTTTCCATATGCCGATTAGAATGATGAAAGGGATGGACCCAAGTCCAGATGAGCAGGGCTCTACCTGGGAGCACCAGGCCAAGACCCTGGGTCTGTAGAGGAAAATTCTGAGACCCTCTGCCCATGTGGAGGAGGAGCAGATGGAAATCTGTAGTGTGGCCCTGCGTCCTAGAGCCCCCACACCCCAGGGGCTAGCGCTGGCTGTGGAACAAGCCCCTCCCCAGCTCCAGTGCAGCTAGCTCCCTACTGGCCGCCGTCCAGAAACAACAGGGAGGGTGCCTCCTCTCTGCAAGCACGCCGATACCCTGGGACATGGTGAGTACTGACGGGGCGCTGGCATGTGTGGGTATGTCTGGAATGGCTGGCAGGATGGCAGACCGTGGGGCGGTTTCAGGGCTCAGGTCCTGCCAGGGAACATGTTGGCGCAGTGACTGCAGGCTTGAGAAGGGGGGACTGTTGGGCAGACTTTGGGCAGGGACAGGGTGGTCCTGGGGAGGGATGGCACCGCTTGGCTGGGTGCCAGCCTCAGTTGACTCACTCAAAGGCAGCAGGAGCTGGAGCCTTGGCCTTCTGAGGCCTGGCATGCTCCCCAATACCCAACTTCACATTGCCTTTGCCCATAGGGAGGAGGAGGGCATCGAAGGGGTTAGGCCTGTTGAATGCATCTTGGGCACCACCGTTCCTGCTCTAGGTGGACTGCTGAGTGCAGGGGCCAGGCCTCCAGAGCAGGGAGGGGAGACTAGGGCGGCCTCCGTGGCAGTAGCGGGGGGCTGGAGGTAGTTACCGGGTTTCAGATAAAGAGCTCTCCCAGCCCCCGGCAGCCTGGATTTGTGGGTAGGAGAAGGCTGTGCTCTGGGCTGGCCTCGCGGCTTCTCTGCAGGTCTCAGCCCGGCTCTCCTTTTGAAGAGAACCTTCCCAGCTGTGAGCTTGCATCCTGCCTCTCAGCCAGGGCCTGTCTTCTCAGCCATCTGAAACCACTTCTACCTAGCAGACAAGCCTTCTGCCTCCTGCCATTCCTGCTCTCTCTGCCTCACCCACTCTCTTCCTACCGCTTCCTGCTTTCTCTCTTCCTTTGGTTCAAACTCCATAAGCAAAGAACACGAGAGCTCAGGCAGCCAGAGTCTCCCCATCCAAGCCGCATACAAATTCCCGGCAGGTTGGAAGGACCACTTGCTCGCCTAAGACCACCTGGGAAGCCAAGGCCCTGTGCGGAGCCCCAGAGGAGCTTGTGCCGAACGGAGGATGAGTGGGGCAGGTGAGCCCCAGCACCGTTCTCCCCTCCTTCCCGTCCTTTCCCTGCAGAGTCTCTAGGGCCCGTGTTCTGCCCAGAGAAGACGGATGTCACATTTATGGCGTCCCATTTCCTTCACGGAGATGCTATAGATCCCTTTTCATTCTGGCGTTTGTTTAATTCACTCCATAAGAATCAATAAAAATTTAAAATAAAAAAAGGCAAAATCCAATTGCTGCTCATTTTCTTGATCCAACCGGCGTGTCACCTAGGTTCATTTGCGTTCTGGCGAGCTGGGCGTGGGAGAGGCAGCTTTCTAGTGGATGGCGAGGGGCTGACCTCCCTTTCCCACTGCGAGGGCAGGGCCCCAGCCCGCAGGTGCTCAGCTCTGCTGAGGGGGCCGCCTCCCTGCGCTGCAGCGGCGCCAGCCAGGCAGGTCTTGCCTTGCCATGGGATCCCCCATGAGACCTGCTGTTTCTGAACTTTCCAGGGCCGAGCTGCCTGCCAAGTGGGGCCCTGCATCCTGCTGAGCTCTGGTTGGGTTCCTGGCCTGCCAGACCCATGCACACAGCCTCTGCTTTGCAGGAATTATACCGCCTGCCTCCCTCCAGCCTCTAAGCCTGAACCCTTGGCTGGGCACAGTGGCTCATGCCTGTAATCCTAGCACTCTGGGAGGCCAAGGTAGGAGGATCACTTGAGCCCAGAAGTTGGAGGTTGCTGTGAGCTAGGCTGACGCCCGGGCAACAACAACAAAAATCAATCAATAAAAAAAATAAGCCTCAGCCCTACTTCTGCTCACTCTGCAACTTTAACCGATTCCCCTGTTCCCTTGGGAATTAGCTCAGGCGCTCAGCCTGAAGCCCCTCTGGGTATCAGAGGTGGCAGAGGGACACAGGAGCGGGTTGCTCGCCCCAGACAGCTCTGGACCGGCTGGCTCCGGCTCGCTGCGTGGTTCTGCGTCTTGCTGATAACCCCTTCACCCGCTTTCTGTGATGGCTACTTACAGCGTGAGCGTGCTCTGTGGGCCTGGAGGAGTCTCTCCGCTTGTCCTCTGGTGTCCGGCTGGTCTGACGGGCCCTTATATACCTCCCATCCCTTGGAGCTCCCCTTGGACCCCATTAACCTTTGGCCACACCTTTGGGGGCCCTGGGTTGGGGAGCCTGGATTCTTGAAGCTCGTGGAAACCACGCTATGGGCTTCCAGGGCTTTCCTGGAAGGCCTCTTGTGCGAGAAAGTCAGGGACCAGCAGAGCCAGCCTCACCCAGGTGGCATTCTCCTGTCCACTGAGAACTCTGCTGCCGCTCAGGGGGTCATTTTAACAAAAGCCTTTTCTTTTTTGTTCCTTAAATTTATGACATTGTGTAGCATCTCCAGGCCAACTCTTTAGTGATCAGATTCTCTGTAAGCCTGTCGGAGCTCTGTATTAGAAAGATAACTTCTCTTCAGTCTTCCCCTGAAGCTCCTCACGAGAGAAAGCATTCGAGAGAATGTGGCAGCGTTTCGATCGACTAATGAAAAGAAAATGACCCAGGGGTGCGCGGGGCCAGATGCGCAAGGGGGTTGAGGAAACGCGTAAGGGTGGCGGCATGGCCGGTCTACACATTTGTAGCCTAAACAGGGAGACTGGACGCCTATCTGGGAAAGGTTTATGGTGATCACGGGAGTCAAACAGTTTAAAGATTCGGGAAGGCAAGAGGGAAGAGGCGAATGTGACCTGGAGTCAGACCACTCGCTGCCACTGCGGGCCGGTGCTGTTTCCAGAACACAGCATTGCTCAGGGAATGCTCGACATGCACGTCCTAATCACACTCAGCAACCCCGTGAGGTTGCTGCCTCTGTTTCCCCCACTTGACAGCGCTCTCCTGTTAACAGTGCCATTGAACAGACAAAGAGACAGAGGCACAGTGAAATAGCTCATCTGTGACCCCACTGCCAGGTCTCTGCATCCAAGGGTCCAGGCTGGACATGGTCAGGTGCAGCAGAGGCGGGGGCGGGGGAGTTGGGGACACGGGGCACAGATGGCATGGAGGATGGGGTGTTCCAGGCGGCCCCCTGTGTGGGCCGGGAGTGGCTCAGTGGGGTCTGATTATGGGGCCCTCAGGATCCAAGCAGAAGGATTTAGATGTGACGGGGGAATAGCAGGGTCCTCATGACACCCTGAAAGGGATGATGTGACAAAAACATCGTGCCGGAAGATCACTCGATGGTGGGCTGCCGGTGTTGGAGCAGGGAGGCCGAGGTGGGGAGCAGTGTCTGGCCGTGAAATCCCGAGGGTCTGGGTGGGCAGCGGCTGCTGGCGCCTTCGAGAGAGGCTCCCCCAAACATGCAGACGTGGGCTGCTTCTTGCCCAGGAGACCCCACCCTGTCGGTCCTTTGGTCTGCCGTGGCTTCTCCGCTCAGACAGGAGCAAATGTTTGCAGGGCTTCAGCCCAACACAGATAACCTCTAGGTTCCCTGCGCAGCAAGGCTTAACGAGAACAGACGGCAGCTCGGTGTCCTCGTGTCCCGCCGGCAGGGCCTGTGTGTGCCGCGCTGCACTCCGCTCCACTCTGCTCCTCCTGTGCGCTGCGCGGTGACTGCTGTCACATGTGCAGTGTGGCTCCGAAGTCTTCGAGATTTACCTCAGAGGAATTAGAGCTTGACGTTCCAGGGCTTGCCGCTGAGCTGCCATCCCTCAACCTTGGGCTTCATTGGAGTTTCGCTGCCGGGTTCAAGAGGGGCTTTGAAGTCTAGGTGGGGGCGAGGTTGCTCAAGGGTCGTGAAGCAGCCTGCCAACTCCTGAGGCTCGGGAAAGCTCCGAGGAGGCGCCATCTGCACCGCGGGCTGCTAGGGTGGGGCCGCTAACACCTGCATCTCTAACACCCAGACCAGGGCAGGCAAAAGAGAGCCCGTGGCCAAATCCGGCCCACCACCTGTTTTTATACATCTTGTGAGCTAAGGATAGTTTTTTTTTTTTAATAATTAAAAAAAATCAAAAGAATAATATTTGGTGGCATGCGAATTTAATTTCCATATCCATAAATACAGTTTCTCTGGGACGGAGCTCCTCTCGTTCATTTACGTGCTGCCCATGGCTGCTTTGGGGCTCCAACAGCTAGACCTAGGTGGTTGTGGCAGAGACCTGACGGCCCACGATGCTGAGAGTATTGCTTATCTGGACCTTCGTGGAAAATGTTTGCTGGCCCCTGACCTCAGCAGTGTCCGCAGCGGCCACATAGCGCACGTACCAGCTCTTTTGGTACCACACCACATCGGGTGGTTATATCCTGTTTTCCTCGTGGGGAAACTGAGGTGAAACAACCGGTCCAAGGTCACATCTATCACGATGGCTGCGCCAGGATTCAGACTCAGAGAATCTGGCTTCAGAATAAAGCTTTTCGCCACTATACCTTTCTGTCTCTCAGCCTTTGGTGAGTGAGCGTATGGGTGTCTCTAGCTGGGGAAGACACAAAACGGTGGCCTGCTACAAATTCCACGAACCTGCCACTGGCTCCTTAGCCACCCCTGCAAGGTGTCTGAGCGTGACGCAGTGTGAGCTGACCAGCTGGGACGAGTGCAGGCTGTTCTCGTGTGTCCTTAGGTTTGGAGAAGCCAGACCTGGACTGGGAGGAGGGCTGCAGATGGTGAGCCAGGCCTGTCCACTGAGCACAAGGAGACATTTGAAGCCACTTCCTTAGGCCTCTCCCCGCCCCCACCACACTCGGGCTCTGGGAGCCGTGTCCTGCCTCTGCTGGGCCAGTCTGGGCTCTGGTCCAGACATGCCTTCAGGACGCTGTCTGAGAAATGATCAGGAGCCTCCAAACCCGAGACAGGTCTGTAGCGAGGGCTGGGGAGAAGGGAAGTGTGGAAGCAGTAAATAAGCCGGGATCAATGTTCTGGGCGTGAGCAGGACCGTCCAGGGATCTCTCCCGTGATTCGGCGTTTCTGACCCAAGGAACTCGCAACACTACAGCATGGTATCTGCAGTTGGGTGTGGACGGAAGGCAAACCAGGGTTGACCGTGAGCTACTCCCTGGAATGCAAGAGGGGAGGGTGAACTAACGGGAGGCTCCGGGCTTCTCTGGGGTCTCAGCTGCTGGGATGGAGTGGCCTCCCCGTGTTCCCCTGTGGGCCGCAGGTCTGTGAAGGGTCAGCCCTTGAGGAACCATGTCACCAGGTGTATCTTCTCTCCCTTCTCTGCCACGTGCCTGGGTCCTCCAAGGGTGTTTTCCACGGCACAGCCAGCGCTTTAGAAACACAGAGCTGGGCGGTGACAAGCCTAATAATGACCACTTCGTCTTTACCTCGTACATCGGCTCTGCCTACAAATACTCAATTAGTGGCTGTTTCTCCTGCAGAGACTGGACAAAAATAAAAGGAAGGCACAACCTGGTGTTCTTCCGTTTCCAAACGGGAACCGCCATAGATGTGCCGCAGCTGAGGCAGAGGGAGGCCTGAAGACCTAAGCCGAGTCTGGGAAAGGAAGTTCGCAAAGCTCGGAGGAAACGGCTCAAACTGCACGTGGGCACTCGATGGCCTCCTTCCCCCTGTTGGGCAGAGGTATTAGCAGTTCCGCTCTCCTCTCCTCGTGACCTTGAAAATATTGTTTGCTGGGTTCTGCCATAACGTCTTCATTAACGGCCCGGAACAGGGAGGCAACGGCATGTTAATTAAATTTGCAGATGATACTAAATTGGGAGATGTAGCGAACATCAGGGAGGACAGAGATCTAATACAAGAAGACATCGGGAGGTTAGAACTATGCGCTGGAAACAGTCAGGTGAGCTGCTGGACATATGTCACCAAGGCCCCGAGGGCACAGGATGGAGGATGTGGGTGGGCGAGAGGGGCAAGCGAAGAAGGAAGGCTGCAACTGGGGGCCCCAGGGGAGGGGGCCACTCGGGCACTGCCCTGTTTTCCAGATGGCTCCCTCAGAGCGGCAGAGGACGGCGGCTAAAGGAAGACGGAGTTCAGATGAGCTGATATAGCCCAGGGATTTCTGGGAGTGTCAAAGCTGAAGGAATAAAAATGACAAATGAAAGGTTTCAAAAGGCTGGCTTGCCCAGAACGCGGTAAGAATTAAGTGTGTGTTGCTCTTGGTGAGCGAGGGCCGGGGACAGGCAGAGAACCAGCCTCGGGAAGGAGGGGCCCAGGAGAAAGAGCTGTTCCTAAGCCCCGTGTTTAAGGTCCTGGATGTCCCTTACAGAGGCCGGAAGTGTGCGACTGCACTCGTGAGCAAAAACACGAGCCAATGGTGACGACATTTAAAACTAGGTCAAGCAAAGCACTGAGAGATGTATTTTGGGCAATGACTGTGCCCCGGCCCGAGGGACAAAGGCTTTGGTGACCTGTGGGGTATTTATATTCTTTTCCTTCTATGGCTCAGGGTCTTTTATCAGAAATCACAAATGATTTGTTGAGAAATGATACACAGCAGAAACCATACACCGAGAACCCCATGGTACAGACGGTGCAAATGGAGACGAAAACACAGACCTACGGTGGGTCCATCCAGAATTAACTTCCAATTTGCTGAGCTTCTTGTTTGTGTGTTACATCTGCTACTCAGATTAATATTCCTGCATCTCCAGTTTCCCGTGGAGTTCACTCAATGCGCACCAACAACCTGGACCTGAAACAATCCGATAAAATGCTTTCCTTTTCAGTTCAGCGTGTGGACTGTTGACAGTGTGCACACAACCTAGGGACGCGGCTGAGTTTTACAATAGCTTCCCTGCCAACTTCCTGGTCAATGTTTCTCCGGGTGGTTAAAATACTGCTAGAAATGTCTCCATCACCAAATTGCTTCCGGGTTTCCTTTCTATTTACGGGGGTTTATCGCAAAAGCTGCTGCTATAAAACTTCAAGAAGAGGTCACATAACTTTTTTTCCAGGGCCAGGCTGTGGGTGCTAAGAGCAGGGTCTGTGGGCTGGACTGCTGTGGGATTTGGGTTTTTTTTTCCTGTTCCTTCCGTGAATTGAGTGTGTGATACCAGATCTCCTTTTAATTGAATTTTAAATATACGTACATATATTTTTATGGAGATGATGGAAGTGTGTGAAGAGAAAGCAGATGGCTT